TTTTGTTTTGGTCTAAGAGAAACCCTATGCCAAATTTCAGCCAAATCTAGGACGGCCACTCGTCGAAGCTGTCCAAAAATGTTCCTTCCTTTTCAGCTATAGTGATGCAATGCTAAACGCTAGATCACAGGAGGATGAAAATGCTTCCAAAACGTCTTCAAATGATTACTTCGATTGACACATCTGGAGAACGTCATGAATAATCTTTCTTATTACTGCAGAAAGAGCAAATCTGGAAATTTCGCAACACTCGTGAAACTGGAGGGTAATTCCGTAACATGTCCCTTTTCTGCTGTATCATTTTCCTGTAAGAACCTCAATCAATACCCTATCTAGTTTAATGGATAGTGCCATATGTACTGGGATATCACTATCACAGCTCTTTCATTTCAACTGGGTAAATAATGACGTGCGGACAACGGAAGCAAGTTGCTCCTCCTCGCTGAATACCGTGCTCTAATAGCGAGAGTCCGATTGTTCGGCATGAGTCGAACATCATCTATAAATATATTTTAGGGCATATGGCAATGTAGATTGCACCTCCATTCAGACCTTTGATAGTTTTAGGACTGAGTAAGAGGCGATAGACATGTATAACTTCTTAAGTATCAGCAGTGCAGACGTTGCGGAATTGCCCGATCAGAAAATGAACCATCGGTGAATTCCGTAACTTCTTGCTGGGACATTTCCTGTATTCTCCACTTACCTATAATAAGTTGAAATATTGCCATTTGCAAAGAAATGGGAAACCCCAAAGGTAAAACCAAAAGCGCAGCAAGAGCCAGAGGACGAAGGAAATAGCCAATAACAATCAGCAAGAAGGATAGGACAGCAACAAGTATTTGCAGGAAGGTCAAGATGCGGCAATTAACGCCACAAATTCTGGCAGGATGGGCTTGCGTGGGTCTCCAAAATGTATGGAGTGCTACGAACAACCATAAATGATAATAGAGGAGGGTTGGCAAATTATTTTTCAACATTGGAAATCGAGAGAATGAAAATTTCACTGTCTTTTAAACACGCATTGAGGTCCCCACTTTCCATCGCGAAAAAAAAAACCAAGAGAAAAGGCAAAAGACGCCTTTACTTTTCATGGGGAATCTCGGGAGACGGCCTTTTTCGCTTCGTTAGGTTGAGATTTTTTTTGTACTTTATACCTGAACTACTGGTAAATCTGAATATAATAATTATTATCCATCATTGCCAAAGTTAAGGGCATGAAAACTAATAACTTCGCCCTTGAAGGGCGAGGGGGCATGGAAGAAGTAAGAGTTGCGGAATTCCCAGAATAGTGTTGCGACTTTAGCAGGAGTGCGGAATTAGCCGAATGCTCATCAGAAAGGATGATCACGACAAAATCTAATCCTGGGAATTCTAATGAGAGAAATGCTTCCTTGCTTCGAGTCATCCGATTCGTCTTTCCTCAAGTTTCATCAAAGGTTTAATACAACATGGTCCTGTGCACACACGCCGTCAGCTTCAGTGAAACAAGGGAGCAAATAGGATCCAAAGTCGCTGCAGAATTCACAGATTTGCCTCAACTCCGTAAATCATCAGAATTAAGTTCGGGCGAAATGGCTGGTCATCCCTTTCTTTCGTAGGAAAGCGAACATTTCACGTCTTGTTGAGCAAGAAGTCAGTCAGGCTAAAAAACAATTGCCAGAATTTGAATTTCATTTATCATGTAAGAGTGAGCGAAAGTCATTTTTCATTTATCCCCCCCCCCCCACTTCCATTCCAGCGAGACACATAAGTCACTAGATGACATATTGGGAAACCCGGGGTGTATCTTCTTGGTCTGGAAAACTGAGAACATGCAAGACTGAACATACTGGCTCATCAAGGTAGTATCTTCAGTCAGACCTAGGTCATAAAACGGAAGAATGTAATACGAATAAGCTCGGGTGATGGAAACACTGGTCAACCGGAGCATATGAGCTATATACATCAATTCACAATACGCTGTGAACAGTAGTGGAAATTCGCACGAAAAGACATTGATGAAAGTCAGACTTCACCAATCTTTTACACTTCAAATTCTACAGTGATACTCGTACATTCAGACTCCAGAATCGAGAAGTCCGCTCATCTTAGAAATCTACTCCCTCTATCTTCCTCTATCTATCTAGAAATCTTTCCTCTATCATTTGTTTCCGGTATCTTCGAAAGCGTCTGCGCGTGGAAGCTTAATCGCAAAAGATGAGATACAAGATGGCAATCCAACCGATGTCAGCTGTCTTCCTGAGTATCCACCATAGTACTTCCTACTGTCGTTCTAGGGGACTGTTTGTTCTTTCTCCAACATTTTCCTACGTGGATGTTCAGGCACTCTATTCACTATTCATCCTCAGGAGGATAAAGAGAGTGCCTCTCGCCCTTTGAGCACACAAATTTTAACCACTTCTGGGACCCAAGATACACCTCCATTTGCAACAAAAAAGAGGTTGTTTTTACAAATAAGTACAAAATATTACATAGAACAATTATTATTTCACCTCTGACTTTCAGGGAAGTGAAAACTACTGTGAAAAAAAAACTAGTATGGTATGGCTAACAAGAGAGCAGCGAATCGCGTTCGAAAAAAATGCACAGCCCGATGGATAACTGTCCTGTCGATGGATAACTGTCCCTTGCTCACGAACTCAGTCGCCACGGTAGCTATGTATCCGCACGCGAAGTTGCATGATTAGTCCAGTCTCGTCGTGTGCATTTGTAGCATGGGTTTGTCATGACAAGTCAGTACTTGTCAAGTACGCTCAAGAGGTAAACGACAAACACTTACCGAAGTCCTACCCAACAAGTTAAACTCTTGCAATACAATACTTGGATGTATGCACTCAAATGCAGTTGATACTAGGAAGCGACAAGTTCTGACATTCCAAGATCAGTGTAAAAAGAAAAACCTCGTTGATTAGAGCTAACGAGGTTTTCCTATTCACCCTCATCTGTTCATGTCCAAACAGTCGAGGAATGCATCTACGTCCACGCTCACGTGACTCGGAAAAATGAATTTGTAATTAAAAAAAAAAAGTTAATTATTCACCTGAGACTCGCGAGAGCAAGGCTGAAGTTGCGAGTAAAACATCAGGAGTCAGACAAGTGGCAAAATTCTGGGCGGCTGATGGACGTCATCGCGAAAATTCCAGCGCAGATCCTTTCAGAGAAAGATGAAGCCTGATCGATGTCATGCATGTTTCAAAAGGAAAGAGACAGATCTGGTTCTGAAACCTGATCGATGAAAGAGACACAGAAGAGTAGGGAAAAAGACGTCAAGTTGGGGTAAAAATAGGGCAAGGCCTAACTAACCCCATTCATACTCCCCAGAGGATTCCCTTACACCTTCCACCAGCCAGATGCACATTCCACATATAATAACTACCGAAAAAAAGACTGGCATATAATGAAGCGTCACAAAGATGAAGGGGTTTTACAAGAAAGCAGGCTTCTCTCAGTACTCGTTGGCAGAAGCCCTCCTTCTCCTTTATTTCCAACAGATGCCTGTGCAAAAATCTCTCGTTTTCATAAACGTATATATGATACATATAAATGTATAAGCCACCACAGCTCACAAATCATGCCCTAGCTTTCGTCTTTTTCCTCAAGACTAGGGCTTACGTTTCATGGAGCAGCAGTTCGGGCTTCCTAATTCTATAATGAAGTCGAGATTCGATAATAATAATAATAATAATAATAAATAATAAAACCTTCGCCAGGCCGCGCGGAGTCACTCTCTGACCTCAAGCAAGATTTTTTGTGATGAAATGCTTACATCTGCAGCAATAATCCTGGTCATCTTGGACATCAAAGTAAATGAAATCAATTTACCCCCAGTAATATTGGAAATGGGATTGAAGTAATGTCAAAGAAGAAATTTGCTAAACGGTCGACAGGTGCTTTTTCCCCAAGGTCTGGTAAGGGTTAAAAAGCGAGCGAGGTTTGCTGCAAACTGTAGATAAGGAAGACTGGAATGGATGGTAAAGGCAGCACTCGTCGTCCATCGTCATCCTTGTTCGGCCGTATCGCTTATGAAGGTCACTGAATATTTCATGGTTTCTCTTATCGACGCGGAGGGATAGGGAACTCTAGATGAAGAAGCCTGGTTTGGCTTACATGCAACCCCGTCTCCTCGCCGTAATTTGATTGAGGCACAGGCTTTGTTGTGAATTTCAATTCCCTCACAACGGAACACGGGAAAGGAAAATGAGAATCGGCAGGATCCATCTTGTTGCGGAGAAAAATGGACCAGAAAGGAGAGAGATGAAAGGTCTGGAAAAGCGCCACGTTCCCGTCCAGACAACGAAGGAAAAAAAAGAGACTGGGGGATACATGGCAGAAATCTTTATAGTACTGAAACCATACAATACCGAAATGCATACAGGAAAAAATTCCTTTTAGTTAAATCGAAGCGAATCACCATGTAAGTAAACGAAATGAAATCTCATTACTACAGTAATCTCCGTCCCTCAAAGTTCGTGAAAACAGATAAATGACAACGCTCTTGAGGATTATTCGAAAAAAAAAACCTCGGCAATGCCATCACTCGAAGCTCCTGGGGCCTTCATGAAGGGATCCGATTAGAGATAACCCCCGGGGAATGGGCTTTGCATAATCACTATTGGCGAAACCACGTGGTGGTACACGCGGAGCTTCCTCCACAGATGCCTTTGACAGGAAATCTCAGAATATCTGAACGACTCCAATAATACTCACAAGTCATACGATCATCGGTGTTTGGTGCACGATTACATAACAAAACGGGGGAGAGGGATTCCCACTCCCAGCTGAAAGACATAATCGCCCACGTAGTTTGATCATTATTTCTGGCTCCTTTCTTTTGAAAACCGCACCGGTTTATATGACTCGATCTTCACCATGATCGCGGTGATCATTGGAGGATAATCCAGGAGTGTGGGTATCAATAACACTCCTAGGTTATCTCGATCCTAGTTGTTGGGAAATACCTCATATGAATAACCGATGATTACTTAAAAGCGGCTCACTCAGTAATAATGAAGCAGCGAGACGGAACAGCACATGACCACTACTTCACAAGTTGAACATCCTTCTGCTTAAACCACAGATACGCAGACCGGGAAAATGTTCCCCTTTTCCCTTCCAACGGAGGTGGGGAGACGAGGACAAGGGCGCCCAGACTGGAGAGACTGGGAATGGAGGACAAGAGCAGAGGCGAGGCCAGGGCCATGAGGGAAGGGAAAGAGGAACATGGGGATCGATAACAAGAGCCGACCTCACTCACTTCCTCCTCATTCCCCTTCTCCCTTTTCTTCTCTCTAACTCAAGTCGACGCACTATGTGAAGCCAATACATACTAAGTCAATATTTATCCCCGACAAATCTCAAATGTCCACAACAATGATGGGAAATTAACAAAATAATGTAACCCACTAGGCGAAAATGCACGCCCCGTATCTAGGTGTGCGCAGGCACATCCCTTTCACTTACTCTGATGAGAAACGGTTCTCAATTTCTTTATAAGGAACAGGTCTTGCACATAAAATGTACCTATCAATCACTGATTTAACAAGAAAATTTTACATTGATTATTCTGTGTCCTTACGTCCGCTATTAGGGTGTCTAGAAGAAAAAAGAAACACATTTCCAATATAATTTCTATTACCATGTGGAAATTTTCCATAAATTGACGGCACCACTCGACCAAGTAGAAATAGGAAATCCATTTCATATCACATCCAATAATGCAGTAGACGAACTCGAACCTTAAGACTGGGGCAGTGAGAGTATCTAAATAAATAAAAACCTCGTGCATTAGCAGGAACAGGAACCATCAAAAGTCTCAACAATTGATGACGTAGCAAACTTTTTTGTCAGGAATAGAACAGCATTCTGTACAAGAGAGGACGGATACTCTGCAAAGACGCATTGACAAAGTAGCTATGAACAAGTTGCGCGTCTCAGGGGACGAAGGAAGGAGAAAAAGGAATTATTCCTATGAGAATATCTCAAGTAAGAAGTTTAAGAACCAAAGCCTACACGCCAGCAAGTACTGAAAGGAATAATCTGATTGGGAGTTACGACATATTCTCCAAATTTTTCAGAGGGTCCAGAAAAACTTCACAAGAGAGCTGGCTCCTTTCTGGGTTCAATCCGATAATCTTACCCCTTTAGCTGTAGGGTGAAAAAGGTATTTCGGGATTTCTATTGCAGAACTCTTGACTGTTTTTAATCTGTGCATGCAATAAATCTGTCATTTTTACACTGTCAATAAGCTCTATTTGCAAATAATGTATCATGCGCTGCAGTAGGATTAATCAATAAAAGTCTCCTGGATTCAATTTCCTCGAGGATCGAAGGCTTCGTCCAAGATGGCGCTACATTCCGAAAGTCTGACAGTCCAGACGCATTAGACGTCTAGGCAAAGTTCAAACACAAATATCTATGTGTCTGTGGGATTAAACGTACTGAGCTCCTATATCATGCAACGTTATCTAGTACTCCCATAACGCACTGACCTGATCACAACAAATGAAGAAGCCTTCTTGGACCCAACCACGAATCATGCTAGTGATTATCAACTAGTGCTAGATCAACACTAGCATCTTGCAATGCTAGAGCTGATCAACAGCTGGCTTGACTGGTGACTAAAAAAAATTGGAACTAGTTAGTTTAAACTCATGAGCAAACACTGAATCATGTGAGATCACAGCCCAAATATCAAGGAAACTTCTGTCCGTGTAGACATGAATACTCCAATGATGAATGCCACCTGACAGCAATGATGGGTTGACATCCACTAACAAGGGGGGAAATCAGCTGTCCCTCTCTGCAGTCAATGGTTAAATGGGATTCATCTTCTGGGCCTGGAAGTTCATCCAGAACTTCTCACATGTGAATAACATTTTTTTAAATGTAGTCAAGTGCTCAGATATGCTATTTAGTTTTCCCTCCAAGTAAATCTTTGCACCTCCCCCTGATGCAACTCACACAGGTATGGACATTAGAACTTAAACAGTGCAATGTTAAGAGATAAAAAATGTCACCTTTGATGACTCCATCAAGTCCATCAAGTGTCTCCATATTTGCTACCACTGGAATATGCTTTTCTTCTATTTCTACTCAAAAGCTCCCTATTCTTGCTGTGGACCAGCCTTATTGGGAATAATCTGACCATGACTTAATTCATTAACCTACTCAATCTACTTTCTCCCTTCTGGCAGTCTAATTTTTTTCATTTAGCAAAATGATTAGATCCATCTCATGCCCGATTTAGTTCTTAAGCAAGGGAAAAATACTACATGTAGTTCTAAATATTAAACATGCCTAAGGAAACACATAAATACTTTTAACATACTTATTCAATCAAAAATAAATGTAAATAAATTTTTTACAGTTCAAAATTTAAATAAAAGCATGCAGCATGGTTACTCTCAGAGCAATCAAATCCTTATTTTAACACCAAGTTGAAAATAAGGATTTGCATTTTTGGATTTGGACTCAGCATTTTTTCAATACTTTCAATAACTTAGAAAAAAAAACAAACAAAATAGCTAGAAAAAAGTTTTTGAAAATGATTCACTATTCAAAATGTTAAAACTTGTAATGTTCTCCATATTCAATCTGCTCTAGATGTATCCAAAATTACAAGGGACATTCAAACTATCAGATAGCTTGCATTGCTGTGGTAAAGCTAAGATAGTTGTTATTCAAGAAAAGTTCAAATGCAAGGTAAGGAAATTTCTTTAAATTGGTGGTTTCAAATGAAACCTAAGGGCAATAAAGGGTCAAGAAAAATTTTTTTTTTATAGATTGTAAACCTGACACCTTGACAATGGATCTTGGCAATCCTTGCCTTCAGAGGTAGACAGTCATATATCTACAGATCAATTATATCATCACAGACAGCTCGAATGACCTGGAGTTTGGTGTCCTTGGTTTAAGGGTGTGATCCTTCCTGTTTTAATAACCTACGATAGTATGCAGCTTGCTATTGAACTAGGCTTTTTCCAGCTGGTCCTTCTTGGTAAAGATGAATTAGTTTTCATTTTCATTTGCCACAACCTTGCACACATCAGAAAATGCAACCTACACCAATCACCATCCTACACAACATTTGTGAGCATCAACTATGCAATTCAAAAGAAAACTTACCAAATGCCAGGAGCACAATACACTGTTTCAGTTTGACTCAACACTTGTGTTTCCAATCAAACACTATACACACCTAAATGCAGTCCAAATCCAATAAGCGATCTCAGGAAGTGAAAAACCTAAGGAGAGAAAAACTGTAAACATTGGCTGTCTTGATAATAATGACACAACATGTCAAGGGCATGATAAGATTCTCTAGGAATTATTATTTTTTTGCTCAGCCTGTCTCCAATTATGCTCCTACAGAATGCAAGTGACACAATAGCGTAGAGGGGCTATGACAGGGAAAAAAATTAATGGATAATGGAGCTAACACACCCATAGAGTATAGTAGATGAAGAGATTGCTACTTTTTACTTCATAGATAGCAGCCAATGAAGCAGAAGACAGTAAAGTCAAGGCAACAAAATTTTGAAAAAATGGTTCCACTGTTCCCCAGTGGAACCATTCTTTATCGGTATGGGATAAAGGAATTTAAAAGAAAACCATAGCCAATGAATATGAAAAAAAAAATAAATAATTTTCCTTCCTATCAAATAGAAAGGAATATGCACTGAACCACTTTACAATTCTGAACAATGCCACAAATTTAGTGATGTAGTGGAGGATAATGTAACATTCCCAGTTGCGAGGACTGTGGAATTGAACCCAGCACACCTACTTTCCTCTCACAAAGCTCCTTGTTGCTTCAAGGGCACTCAGAACTTCCACTTAGCTTGCCTTGAACCATCCAATAGCTGAAAAGACACAATTACACAATGCAAATAATATAGGTTCTACTTGAGATTGGATTCAACTCAAGCCTCAGCAGTGTGACTATACTGAATAGTTGAATTAACCCTTTGAGGAGTGGGTTTTTTATGCCTAGAAGATCACCCGTAGTGAATACATGGAGGGCAGGAGGATGTCAGCCCGTACATATACAGGCATACTCGTCAAAGGGTTAATTGTTGGACCTGGGGTGTCTGAGACAGCAGGAACTTGGAGCATAGGGCCTACTGAAGGTTCAACAAAAATATCCAAGAGAGAAGAAACCAAGCCTGCTAGATCCTTTCCTACAGAAGCAGTCATTTATTGACCTTTAAGGATGAAGTGCTATGGGAAAATAAAAATGTACAGCCCCATGGCTCAAGTGCTTACATATCTCAAATAATTTTGTGCCATGGCTAACCTTAAATACACTCTGCTCAGCCAAAAATATCCAGTCACTCTAGACAAAGTAAGTTTATTCCAATTAAAGTTATAAGAGCTTGAAAGGGCAAGAAAAAGGGGGATCCAACTGGAATGGTAGAGGGAACAAGTGGAAAGCATGTCTTAATATATATTGTGCTGCTATTCATGCAAATGGTAGTCCTATTGTGATTTTAAAATAAATGTGTACCACCTTATACATTATGCAATGCTATTTCTATGGTGCATCTGAGGAGGTAAGGGAATATCTTCCATAATAGAAATAAAATTAGGCCCCTGGAACAGATATTAATGATGGTATAAATTCATTTGCAAATCAACATGCACAATATTAGACATGCCAAGGTGACACTCCATTCTGTGTCTGTCTGGTTACTTTGGCAAGTAGAGGCATAACTTGCACAGAACATGCAACATTGAAAACCAGACATGAAAGAGCTTGAGGTTATCTTTGAGTGAAGACTAATTGGCAGGGATGTCACCATATTTAAATTTGACAATCTATAACTAATGATGGAGCAAAATTTATTAATACCATTAGAAAGACATTCTCTTGATCTATTGGATTATAGATGAAATCATTCTACTTAACTTGCAGCTATCCCCATTGATATCATTTTTTCAGACTGAAAACTTTAGCCAATAAGTTTACCAGAAAAATCAACACCTCTACAGCCAGAGAGATTCAGGGAGAGTGAAAACGTGTTTAATAAGTGTTCTAGGAGACTTTTGTCACATCTACTTCTGGGTGCTATTGATTGAACAGAAAAATATAACCTATTGGTCTAAAGTGTCACAGAAAACTTCACTCAAAAAAATTCAAATTGTTCAAACATGTAGCAGTGACAGAAAACCAGTTATACAGACTGGCCCAGCCCTAAGTCAAAATAAAATAGCTAGCTTCTTGTTAAGATGACTCTGTAGGCCTGTATCACCTTCAATCCACATCTTCAAAGTCCCTCCTCCTTAGGCAAAGGCTTTTC